GTAGCAAACGCGGACGGTTTCGCGTCGTCCGCCTCAGTTTCGGCCCTTGTTTTGACTCTGGATGCGTGTCCAGCTGAATTCAATTAGCTAGTGCTTTGGGGTTGTACCACCGCGGCAGTTCACCGCGGCAGCGGTCGCGGCAGCCTCGTGTGAAGACCGACGAGTGTAAAGACCATCGACTCTACCTGCGCAACTCCACCGAGCAAAGACACCGACAAAGCACTTGAGTACTTTACTTTCTTGTTTTACTTTATCTTTACACTTATTCTTGCTGTCAGTGCACTTTTATTATGTGTTTTCTAATTCCTGTTGTTACTAACACTCGCAAAACACGGGAGGTACGCTGCAGGCGTAATCCTCACAACCTTCGCTCAATACATGTATCTGCTATTTCACAACTCTCTCTCTCCGAGGGCCTCTGGAATTGTCAATCAGCTGTTAACAAGGCACATTTTATTACCTCCATAGCTACATATTCTGACTATAATCTCATGTCTCTAACTGAGACCTGGTTGAGGCCGGAGGACACTGCTACACATGCTACTCTTTCTGCTAATTTCTCTTTTTCCCACACTCCTCGTCAGACAGGGAGAGGGGGTGGGACTGGACTACTAATTTCCAAAGAATGGAAATTTACTCTGATACCCTCCCTGCCAACAATCAGATCCTTTGAATTCCATGCAGTCACCATTATCCACCCCTTCTACATAAATGTGCTTGTCATCTACCGCCCACCAGGTAAATTAGGTCACTTCTTAGATGAACTGGATGTTCTTCTCTCATCTTTTTCTAATATTGACACTCCCTTGTTGGTGCTAGGTGACTTCAACATTTACGTTGACAAACCGCAAGCTGCAGATTTTCAGACTCTGCTTGCCTCTTTTGACCTAAAAAGAGCACCTACCTCTGCTACCCACAAATCAGGTAATCAGCTAGACCTTATTTACACACGACACTGCTTCGCTGATCAAACAATAGTAACTCCACTACAAATATCCGATCATTTCCTTCTGTCCCTCAACATCCACATTACTCCTGAGCCATCACACACTCCAACACTGGTTACCTTTCGCAGAAACCTACGATCTCTCTCACCCAATAGACTATCCACCATTGTTTCAGACTCTCTTCCTCCATCTTGCAAACTCTCTGCACTTGATACGAACAGTGCCACTGATACACTCTGCTCCACACTAGCATCATGTCTAGACCGATTATGTCCTCTTGCATCCAGGCCAGCCCGTGCCAGTCCTCCTGCACCCTGGCTCTCGGATGCTCTCCGTGAGCATCGCTCAAAACTTGGGGCTGCAGAGAGAATTTGGCGGAAAACTAAAAATCCTGCACAGCTCTTAACATACCAAACTCTTCTGTCCTCTTTCTCAGCTGAGGTTACTTCGGCAAAGCAGACATATTACCGTCTGAAAATCAACAATGCCACTAATCCTCGCCTACTTTTTAAAACATTTTCCTCCCTCTATCCTCCTCCACACGCATCCTCCACACTTACTACTGATGACTTTGCTACATTCTTTTGCACCAAAACTGCAAAAATCAGTGCTCAATTTGCTGCACCTACAACAAACACGCAAGGTACACCACCAACACCACACACACTCACCTCTTTTTCTCAGCTCTCTGAGTCTGAGGTGTCCAAACTCATGCTATCTAGCCATGCAACCACCTGTCCACTCGATCCCATTCCCTCTCATCTCTTGCAAGCCATCTCTCCTGCAGTCATACCAACACTGACTCACATAATTAACACATCTCTTGACTCTGGTTTATTCCCCACTTCATTTAAGCAGGCTAGGGTAACCCCACTGCTAAAGAAACCCAACCTGGACCATACGCTACTTGAAAACTACAGACCAGTATCCCTGCTTCCATTCATGGCCAAGATTCTGGAGAAAGTAATGTTCAATCAAGTCCTGGACTTTCTTACTCAAAACAATCTCATGGACAACAAGCAATCCAGCTTTAAGAAAGGCCACTCAACTGAGACTGACCTGCTCTCTGTTGTGGAGGATCTCAGACTGGCTAAAGCAGACTCTAAATCATCAGTCCTCATTTTGCTGGACTTGTCAGCTGCTTTTGACACTGTCAACCACCAGATCCTGCTATATACGCTTGAGTCACTGGGCGTTGCGGGCACTGTTATACAATGGTTCAGATCTTACCTCACTGACAGGTCATTCATGGTGTCTTGAAGGGGAGAGGTGTCCAACCTACAGCATCTAAACACTGGGGTACCTCAAGGCTCTGTTCTTTGGCCACTTCTCTTCTCCATCTACACATCATCTCCAGGACCAGTCATCCAGAGACATGGATTCTCCTACCACTGCTATGCTGATGATACCCAGCTATACCTCTCTTTTCATCCTGATGATCCCTCGGTTCCAGCTCGTATCTCAGCCTGCCTGTTGGATATTTCACACTGGATGAAAGATCATCATCTTCAGCTGAACCTCACAAAAACTGAAATGCTTGTAGTTTCTGCCAACTCGACTCTACACCATAACTTTTCAATCCAGATGAATGGGGCAACTATTACTGCATCCAAAATGGTGAAAAGCCTTGGAGTAACGATTGATGACCAACTAAGCTTCTCTGACCACATTTCTAGAACTGCTCGATCGTGCAGATTCGCACTCTATAACATCAGAAAGATCCGACCCTTCTTATCTGAACATGCAGCTCAACTCCTTGTTCAAGCTCTTGTTCTCTCCAAACTGGATTACTGCAACTCTCTAATAGCTGGGCTTCCAGCTAACTCTATCAAGCCTCTTCAGCTGCTCCAGAATGCAGCAGCACGAGTGGTCTTCAATGAACCTAAACGAGCACATGTCACTCCGCTGCTAGTCCGTTTGCACTGGCTGCCAGTTGCTGCTCGCATCAAATTCAAAGCTCTGATGTTTGCCTACAAAGTGACTTCTGGCCTTGCTCCTTCTTATCTGCGCTCACTTCTGCAGATCTATGTGCCCTCCAGAAACTTGTGTTCTGTGAATGAACGTCGCCTCGTGGTTCCATCCCAAAGGGGGAAGAAATCACTTTCGCGAACGCTCACGCTCAATCTGCCCAGTTGGTGGAATGAACTCCCTAACTGCATCAGAACAGCAGAGTCACTCGCTACTTTCAAGAAACGACTAAAAACTCAACTATTTAGTCTCCACTACACTTCCTAATCTGCAATTGCCTCTCTGAATATCACACTAACTGTATCAAAAAAAAAAAAAAAAAAAACTAATACTACTAATACTTCCCTTCTTAGACTTTACAGACCTGAAACTTGCCTATACCCCTTATTCATTGTTGCTCTTATTTGTGTAAATTGCTTCCTTGTCCTTATTTGTAAGTCGCTTTGGATAAAAGCGTCTGCTAAATGACTAAATGTAAAATGTAATGTAAAATGTTTTTATTGACGTTTGCATTTGCATTTAGCAACTACTCACAATAAACGCCAGTCTGTCAGAAATAGCACTACAGAAAAACACTGGATGTCATGTGACTTAACCAAGGCACATCATTGGCTTCACTAAGGTCTTCTCTTTCAAACAAAAAAAAAATATGTTGGTCTTAAAGAAATAGTGGCAGGGAAATGAACATAAGTATCATGTTGCCATAAGGTTACACCGTGCAGTAGAGGGCTAGTACTTGTGTGTATTTGCATGTCTAAAATATAAAATAAGCATTAGACAGTTAAAACACTGCATAATTGTGATGATATGATGAGCTAACACTAACTTGTCATGCTTGTCACGCTGGATAACGAGTAAAACACCAGCACCAGGGACAACAACATGGTCCTCACTTCAAATTGAAACATAAGTAGGAATTTGTAGTGATTTACCCTGATCTCTCTTCCTCCTCATCCCTGTCTTTGAGGCGCTGAACTCATTATCAGTGTAAAAAAGTAGAGAGAGACCGTGTTCACTCCACGCTGAACTGAAGTGTTTTTTTTTTTTTTTAAACATTCAAATGTCTCTGTGTCCCGCGACACAACGAATCGATTATGAAATTCGTTGCCAACGCTTTTAGTAATTGATTTTTATTGGTTCTGTTGTTGCAGCCCTACTAAAAACAGTGTTATGCTGTTAGGGCATGGAACGATAACCATTTTTAATGTATAAAACCGCCAAATGGTATATTTAAGGTTGTTTCTCCGTTTTAAGTTTTTTTTTGGACAACAGTATCTCCAGCAGGAAAGATCCAAAAATGCCTTTTTATCTGGCATTTCTGCATATTGTCAGCTATATAAATTGTCACCACGTAGGTCTTCAGCAAAGCCTCAGGACATGCACAAAGGCAAGAAAACAAAGAAAAAAGTACAAATTAATGAAAACAAGTAGGAAAGTATGTCATCTTGCCATCTCATCACTTCAGTTAACAGCAAACGAGGCATTAAGCATTTGCATAAGTTCATTCATTTTCCTTCAGCCCAGTACCTTTAATTATCAGCAGTTGCCACAGCGGATTGAACCACCAACTTATCTAGCATATGTTTTAAACAGCGGATGCCCTTCCAGCTGCAACCCAGTACTGGGAAGCAATAGCATAATTTAAATACAATAATGCAGCCTCACTAATATAAGCGTGAATTATGCGTACTTGCAAGCAAGTCACAAATGTTTTTAATCGAGTGGAAGATGTACATGAGGGAACACAACACAAATAATCTAGAGCGAGTGCATTTGATGATTTGCATTTAAAGCCACAGGCACAAAAAAACTTGGTTTTCCTCTGACCCCCAAAATGAAATATTCTGCAAGGTATATGATCTGAAACCTCAGACACATTCTGGGAACGCCAAAGACTTATTTTACATTTTGTTAAAAAAATAAAAGGGTTAATTATAGGAACCCTGTAAAGGGATAGTTGACGACAAAATGAAAATAGCCTCACCGTTTACTCTTCCTCGTGTGGTTTTAAACCTTTATGAGTTTCTTGATTCAGCTGAACACAGAAAAAAGATATTGTGAAAAACTCTAGTTTTCTTTGTGTTCCAGAAGAAAGGAAATGTTTAAAACTGCATGATGGAGAGTAAATGGTAATTTTTATCATTTTCATTTTTGGGTGAAACATCCATCTCATGCTTCTCGCTTTGAACCTTCAAACTAAAGTTAACTTTTTTTCATTTAAAGACCTGATGGTGCTGAAAGAAGAGACACTTCATCAGAATGAAAAGGAAGAGAAACAGCAGTTTGAGAAACACCAAGTAATAATGACTGATGAAAAACCCACACTGTCTAAAAAGACTTCATCACGTGGAAGACCTCGGAAATCCAAGTCTATGTGTAATTACAGCTGTACACGGTGTAGAAAGAGTTTCAGTAAAAAGTCAAACCTTGATATTCACATGAGAGTTCACACTAAAGAGAAACCTTACACCTGCAAACAGTGTGGAAAGAGGTTTGGTTATATACAAGGCTTTGAAAACCACATGAGAATTCACACTGGAGAGAGGCCGTACACATGCCAACAGTGTGGAAAAAGCTTCTATCATGCAGGAAACTTTGCAGCGCACCAGAGAATTCACACTGGGCAGAGGAAGTATACATGCCAACATTGTGGAAAAAGCTTCTCTAAAACAGGAAACTTGGCAGTGCACATGAGAATTCACACTGGGGAGAAGCCTTACTCTTGCTCTCAGTGTGGAAAGAGTTTTAAGCAAAATGTCACCCTTAAAATCCACATGAGAACACACAATGAAGAAAGAATTTTTACCTGCACACAGTGTGGGAAAAGTATTTCTCAAAAGCACTACCTTGACATCCACATGAGGATCCACACTGGAGAGAAACCTTACACATGCACAGAGTGTGGTAAAAGTTTCCCATATAAAGGCTCACTCAAACACCACATGATAAGTCACAGCGGAGAGAAGCCGTTTGCATGTGCTCAGTGTGGAAAGAGTTTCACAACCAAAGCTAGCCTCATGAACCACATGGATGGTCACACTGGAACCATAGTGTTCACATGTGATCGGTGTGGAAAGACCTTCACACGCAAAGACTCTATGAAGCAACACATGAAGACTCACTCAGGAGAGGATCGTTTAAGATGCAGTGAGTGTGGAAAGGGCTTTAAATGTAAAAGAAGTCTCAGCACTCACCTGAAGCTTCACAATGGAGAGCAAAAATGAGGCCTTGTCCAGCGGAGCTTGGGGCTCTTTCCCAGGACAGCATGTCAAACAAGTGTGAACTCTTGAATACATATCAAGTTACTGATAATGAAACCCTTGGAACGCCTGAAGATTTAAACTCAATAACTGAAGAGGGGTGAGGATGTGCCAGGTTGTGAGAGTTTCTACAGGGCTGCATAAAAAGCTGAATACCTTTATATGTGTTTCAAGTTATTATGAACTGATTATTTTATTTTGTGCAAATTGCACACTTCAAACTAATTTTCGGCTCTGAATATAGAATTAGAAAGATTAGGGAGAAGAAAGTGTTAAGGGAGATGCAGGGAACACTGTCCTACACGCTTAAGCCTGGTTTATAATTGATGCGTCCGCTTGTTTGCTTGAGTGCGTGCAGCAAATGTGATGTCATCGCGGAGTTTGCAGAGGTTTGCTTTGGGTAAACGCGACATAATTTCGGCCGGCGGAGTGTATGTTTTTTTTTTTTTTTGAGACTCAAGCAAACAGTGCGCGCAGCGCCAGATTATGATTTGAGTTGAATATGAATCACTTTGAGCATCTGAAGACATCTTTATCAGCAAACAGTACGCAATGGTGCCGCATTTGAGACTTTGCCTGAAACGTACGCCTGCACAGACATCCTTATGATCCATGATCATAGAGATCACCAGATGACCAATAATTCTTGGCTAGAAATTGCACCAGCCATGGGAAAGAGGACAGCTTTTGTTAAAAGTTTGTAAAAACCTGAAGGATGTTCTTTAAAAGTCAAAGAGGCCATGGCAAAAGTGGAGACCCAGGTACATAATTACAGACAGGCCCGGATTGGCTAATCGGGAGGACCGGGAGAATTCCCGGTGGGCCGATCCTTTTTTTGGCCGCGAGGGCCGGTGTCCCTAGCTCCAGAATCTGTTGCTCTCAGCAGTCACACTTTTTAAAAATAATTTATTTATTTACTTGACCACAGCCTTCTTATTATTTTACCGCAGCTCTGCTCTTTTTATCTATTTTCTCGTAGCCTCGTGAGCAGGATGCAGCCTGCAGGTTAATGATGATATAACTAGATAAGTCACCATTCACCGTACAGCTGTTGTGGTACAGTGGTTAGTACGGTTAGATAAAGACGCGGCCAACCTGGGTTTGGTCCTTGTCTGAGTAACAATTTTTTTTTTTTCATTTTTATTGTTAAGACATAATACTGTAAGGGTTGTTGAACATTTGAAGTTCTGAAAGAGCTGTTTTCTCAAAAAAAGACGTGATAGTGTAATTAGAAACTGAATTGGAAATAACCTTATTTTAATATAGTCAGTGGTGAACTGAGGTGGGCCGGTCTGAGGCTTGAAACTCCAGGGCTGAAAAAGAGTCCCACTCCGGCCCTGATTACAGAATATGTTTTTCCATTAGTCGCAGGTTTTACACTGATTTATACGTTACAATTTTAAATTTAAAACAATTTAATATCAAAACTATAATTAAGGAACAAATTATTTTTTTGATAATTGGAAAGGAATATTTGACCCTATTGGCTTACAATACACTGATGCCATGTTTTTCTAGGCTTTATTGGTGATCATGGTCAGAAGTGTTGGACCATTATTCCCTTTTTAGCATAAGTATAGGACAGAAACTAGCCAGACAATAATGTGTGAATTGTGGAGTGGGCTAAATCTAAAAAAAAAACATGTATTTTTTAGTCAGTGTACTTTTTTGCTTTTATTTTTGCCATAATAAAATATATTTGTAGAGCAACCCATGTTCTTTTGTCATTAATATTTTAATAAACTTCAATGGGTAAAACTGTCTGAGATATGAACAAAAGAAAGTGATGCATCAAAGTTTGATTTAAAAAATCTTGAATGGTTCTAAAAATGCTTATAATAATTAAAATAACTTATAAACACAATAAAAATAATTAGCTTAAAAATCTTGAATGATGGTAATGATATGACGTAGTTCCGGAAATTTTCTACTACTTTGTTTATTTATCTGACTTCATGGTCAGATTCTTTTGGCCGCCCCCTGTCGTTTTAAAGAATATCACAGCAAAGAATGCGGTGAGTATAAAAGCCTTGTCCGCGTCGTGAGGTGTGCGCGCAGTCAGAGGAGGTGTGCGATGTGGTGCCAGGTGAAAGTATAGCTTTAGATTGTGTTTTCGATCATTCACATTGTCGGATTTCACTCGTGTGAACAAACAACCATTTGCCTCAAGTTTTGGGCTTTTGTCTGCAGTTTCACTAAACTTGTTGGAGAATGAAAGTCCGCCTAAACTTGTGCGGTGTAAACTTGCCATAAGGCAATGACTGTGAGCAACTGAAGCAGACTCCCTAAAGCCCTGTTCAGACTACACAATGCCATTTGCCTGTTACGACAAATCAGATTTGTGTCAGATTATGAGATTTTGACTTGATCAAATCTTGATGTGTTGTGGGTAACAAATGAAGACAAGTTTTCTTCATGAAGACAATTAAACTGTCTGTACACGACTGGTTGCCTTTAAATATATGTTCATGTGAAAACTCCCACATTACTACAAATAAATTGTTGTATGGGAAACCCAGTGTCACTATTGTGAATGAGAGCTTAAGTAGTTTGTTGTAATTCCAGTACTCAACAGACTACTGAAGCACTTCATTTATGAATGAAAAATTTTATAAAGCTAAAAAGGTTATTAACCAGGTAATGCTGTGTACAATTTTTCTTAAGTTTTACCAAATTTAACTAGTTTATAGCAAACAAAAAAAGGTTTACATGGATATTGACATGAGGCATTCTGTCATGTACATGAGTATATGCAATTGTAGAAAATATGCTCAGTGTTTTCAGTATAACTTTCCCAAAGTTGACAAAAGTTATCCTCAGTATCAAATATTAATCTCAGAAATTATTTTGATGGATACACATCAGTAATCATTTTAAACTTAAGCTCTTTAATTTTGGGCAGAATTGGGTAAGAAATGTAACTTGTTCTTATTTTTTCTAATTCCTGTGAATTAAAATCTTTAAAAATGAAATGAGGTCTGAGCTGATTAGGATTAAGCTTTTGAATAAAAATATTCCTTAAAAACTTACTACATTTTGGATCTCTAAAACATAAATTGACCAAAAACAGAGATGAAAGAGAAAACATTACAGAATAGTGTAAAAAGAATACCTCTGATCAATACTATGATGTTTTTAGGAATAACATTAACAAATCTGTAAAACTCTTTAGAATGACAAAAAAAAAAAAAACATGTTTTAAGCAGAAGTTTTTGGAATTAAGATTGTCACCATGGCTATCCTTCCTATCCAATAAAGAAAAAAAAATCCTAAAATAAAGACTTATTTCGATATAAAATAAAATGATTGTTCGATAAACAAGTTTTATGAGGACTGAAATTGTGAAAAAAATCTAGTCTCAGCACAATAGGACCTGCTGGTGAAACAAAGACCAAATTTAAGGTTTATTTGGGCTAGAAGTGGGTTATCATTATTTCACTGCTGTCAGAGTCAGGGATAATTCTATACATTATTATTTTGTGTTCTCTAGAATTCTCATGAAACTCGTGAAATTAAAATTCATGCAAAATATTTTTATAAGATCTTATTTCGCTGATTGATTTCTGTTATTTATTTAAAATATTTGCATAATAATAATAGTTTTATAATAATAATAAAACTTTTATTTATTTGTAATATAATTATATTTAAAATGACAACTTTGTGAGCCTTGACCAATGCATTTACCAAGCCGCTGTCAGCAAGACTCACTTTGACACTTCTCTGCAGCATGTGAGCGACACAGTATATATGAACACATGAACTGTCGCTCACATGGGTTAAAGCTGTGAATGAAGACATGCAATCGTTAAAAGAAATTGTAACCTTTACTCTTACCAACCTAACTAAAGGCAAAGAAAAAGGGGGTAAATTGTTTTTTTACAATTGAGAGAGATAGTGATGGTCTGACAAATACAAAACATGGTATTTTGCCAAATGGTACAGCCAGCAAAAAGGTGTGAACTATGACAAGATTTTTTCTCCAACTGCTAACATGACTAGTATAAGAGTGTTAATGCAAAAGCTGTGCAAGAAAATCTGATTGTTCACCATTTATTCATTTTCTTTTCGGCTTAGTCTCTATTAATGTGGGGTCACCACAGCGGAATGAGCCGCCAACTTATCCAGGACATGTTTTACACAGCAAAGGCCCTTCCAGCTGCAACCCATCCCTGGGAAACATCCACTCACACACACAAACACACTCACACTAGAGTCAATTTGAGCTTTTACCCAATTCACCTATACCACATGTCTTTGGACTTGGGGAAACCGGAGCAAACACATGCAAACACATTGAGGACATGCAAACTCCACACAGAAATGCCAACCGACCCAGCCGAGGCTCAAACCAGTGACCTTCTTGCTGTGAGGCGAACATGCTATCCATGGGCCACCGCATTGCCCCTGATTGCTCACCTGATGGATGTAAAAACAGCGTATTTATATGCACCAATAGAATGTGACATTTTTTATAGAAACACCAGAAGGTTATAAGTAGGCCCACATAAAATCTGTGTGCACAGAAATCCGCAGAATTTAGCCCATCATTGAGTCTATTTATTTACTTGTATAAATGTGTGTACATTTATTTATTTTTTCAGTTTTTCATTAATTTCAGTAATATTATTAACTAATATGAAAATGTTTATTTAATTTATCTACAATACAGTGTGTAAAGTAATATTTTCTGTCTTTTAGTAGAGATATTATAGAAGAGACTTGTTTTGTTTACCAAACAAGTGGATCTAGATAGATTTGCATTGTAAAAAGCTTTTAATTAAGATACTCCCAAAATAACACCACATAAATCCGCAGTTTTTATTTATTTATTTATTTTTTATACAAAATTCTCAGAAGAAATAGCAAAAAAGGTCAAGATTCTGTTTGGCCCTAGTAATGAGGTAAAATCTGAAAGAAAGAGAAACCGGTGTGTAAATTGAAAATAATCACTTTATGGACTCAAGCAGTCAGGCAGGAACTAAAACAAAATGTTGATTACTTGGGTGAAGACATTTTTGCCCCTCGTATTCTTCAGTATATCTTCATTTGCATTCAGCAGAAGAAACTCAAACAGGTTTGGAACTGGTAGAGATGAGTAAATGACAGAATTGTAATTTTTGTGAACTACCCCTTTAATGCTTCTTTAAGGTAAAGTTAAATATGATTCCAGAAGATAAAGAATGACAAGAAACAGACACTAAGAGAAAACAATTCATATATAAAAAACTCAGGAAGTTGTAGAAATAGGAAAGACCCTAATCACAAGGATGAGATTTAGTAATGTGTTCTAAACAGGGCCGGATTAACCAATGGGCCTTATGGACACAGGCCCAGGGGCCCGTGCGCACTAGGGGCCCCTGCGAGGGGGGAGAAAAAAAAAGACAATTTCGGAGTGTCTTTTTTGGCCAATTGCAAATAGCGCATCTAGTTGGAATAAGCTATTCAGGGTTTACGCCCATCGATGCCTGATTGATAGAGACAAGACAAGTATAGAGCTGCTGTTATCAACAGTCGCAGTGGCGTACCTTGTAAGGCGCCCCGCATCGTCTTTTGACGCGATTAATCATAAACTCGGTTCGAATCCACCAACAGCTGAACTCGTGCTACTTTTTTTCTCCCCTTTACATATCAGATTGGAAATATATTTATTTTTAACAGGAAGGAAACATTTTTTTAAAATAATGCAAATGTGATATAAAGTCACAAGTGTCTCGTGGGTATTTAATAATGTTTAGCCTTATTATTATAGGTGACTCCCTCTCTGCAAAAACTATATTGCTTAGACAACTGTATTTCCTCTGAGCCAAAAAGTCGGGAACACATATTAATATTATTATTATATTTAAATTGCCTTTCTATCTTTAACTAAACAGAATGCTGTAATTGGTCAAGCGCGGAAACGTCAGTTTTGTAATAACCCGCACTAAACTGAGCGGACTTTAGTGTAACGTTATATCTGTCATAGATCAAAAATGAGTGGACAAGTGGATTTAGCAAACGCGAGAGAAAGAGGAGAGGAGGCATCTTTATTGAGGCATTTTCCATACACACCATCTTTAAACAGACCCATGATCAGGAGAATGAGGGTACAGAAGAAGACGTTATGGTAACTTTAAATGAGTAGCTAGCATTAACCAGGCGGAGGGGCTAACGGCAGCGCAGCGCGGACTGGATTCATTGTGTAAGAGACAGACAGAAAAGGAGAGAGAGAGGGAGAGAGAGAGAGAAAGGCCTAGAAGAGGAGAGAGACGGGAGAGAAGAGGTATAGTGTCTGTGATTTCGGATACTTTTAGGTTTATAATCAAGTCTTCATCACGAGAAGAGTAGAGAAAATACAGGGAGAGGAGGAGAGAGACAGTAAATCAGTGTTTGTATTATGAAAGACTCAGATTCATAGAACTCAGATTCATAGAACTGGATTGGAGAAGCATTGTGCGTTATATGCCATAGCAATAATATGCTTTATAAGTTTGTAAAGGCAATACATTGAAATACCCTTAAAAAAAAAATTTAAAAAAAATAAAAATAAAATATATATATATATATATATATATATATATATATATATATATATATATATATATATATATATACAGTATGGCCACGTAGGGGGCCTTACAAGACAATGTGCCCAGGGGCCCCTGAGTTCTTAATCCGGGCCTGGTTCTAGACATGCAAGTCGTCATAAAGTGAATTAAAAAGTTTTTTTTTAAAATTATCTTTAAAATGTTTTGATCAGCTTCAAATACTAAATATGTCTGTGTGTGTGAGAGAGAGCTGATATAGTGTAAAGTGAAAACGAGGGAGAAATTTATCAATAAGTCATGACTCATGACAGTAGCAAAAAAAAAAAAGCTGAACAAAATGACTTTTATTTTGGCGGGGTGCTGTGACGTCATAAGGCGGCGCCGCTTTTGCGCTTTATTTCAACAGGAGAAAGGTTTGTTTTCAAGCTTTTACACTTATATAAACCGATTGATTACAGTTTAAGGTTTTTTCATCCGATGCTAAATTATGTACCTGCTGTTGACAATATTATTTTAACCCTTTATACAACGTTACTATTTTACATAACTTAGAGGTAAAGTTGGTTTTATATTCACACATTCTGACTTCCACTTAATATAATTTCCTAAAAGTATTATTTGCAAACTCTAAATAGTGAAATCATATTGGCAGCAAATGACTATCAAAGTACAACAGTGTTCACTGTCAAATAAACAGTGTTAATATTGTTTTTAATTCACACTTGCATCGAATATTCAAAGTAACATGGTAAATAATATACAGACTTCTTAATGAACGAGTGTGTAAATATAAAACTAACTTTATGGTTTATATTACCTATATTGTTTGAATAAAGCAACAGAAAAGTGTGTAATAAGTGTCCTAATGATGAAGGTTTACTTGATTCAATAGCGTAATATCACTCCATTCTAAGTATACATCACTATATATAATAAACGGAGTACTACTTTTAATCAGCTCATTGTTTCTTGCTCGGACTCACTCTTTTACTTGATTTCTTTTTAATTACTCTCATATAAAGAAACTGTTGCAGCAAGTGTTGAAGATAAGTTATTTTTGTTTCTGTTCATTGTTTTATTCATTTTAAACAGGAAGTGTCCGAACACAGAGAAAAACTCCTGCTGAAGCGACTGATCTCCACACTGTTATAAAGATGGCGTTTGTTAAAGAGGAGAGTGAAGATGTGAAGATTGAAGAAACATTCACAGTCAAACAGGAAGATCTGCAGGAACAAACAGGTTGGTTTTCATTCTCAAACACCAACTCAGTCATTTGATCCTCATTCAGATATTTTTTAATAATAAGAATACTAAATTAATCCATCTTGTAGCCCTGAGTGTGCTGCCTAGTTCTACTAAATGCACATAAGCACTTATTGAAAGATAGTAACAAGTTTCTTTTGTTACTTGTTCTCATGTCTTTTGTCATTCTTTTATGCATTAGTAGTCTCCCATTTTCTCTACCTTCTTAAGGTTATTGCTTTTCTTGTTCTACTGTTTGTAAAGAGTTCTTGAGAGCACAGGCGCTATATAAAATTAATTAAAAATAATAAATTAAAGTTTAACTGAGCTGACGATATTTGACCTACAGTATTCTCATAGAAGATATCTGCTATTACGGTGATAGTGTTGGCTTAGTAATTTCCATTTGCATGTCATGTTGATCACAATTCCCTTTTTCCCCTCAACTTCTTTATGGGTTTAAACCTTTTTCTAGTAGTTGTTACTAGTTCTTACAGATTTTATCTGAGTTAGAACACACAAGACTCACACATGAACATTTACTCAAAGGAGAAGAACCACCAAAATGCCTTTATTGCAACAGAAACCAAACAGTTAAACATATTCTTGTGGAATGCCCCATTTTTAATGTTATTAGACAACAATATTTATCTGGAGAGACTTTAAAGGAAATATTTTTAAACGTGAATCCATCTAAAGTTGGAGAATTTTTATCAAAAGGAAATCCTAAAAAACGGTTTTAGATTTTTTTCTTATATATTATCATTATTATTATTATTTATATGTTTTACCTTGTACATTATTTATTGCTGTTGATGACTTTTAATTGTTAGAATATTTTTACTTGATCTATTTTCCTTTTGCCATGACATAGCCATAGACGCTGAAATGGCAATAAAATTAAAACTCTCTCTCTCTCTCTCTCTCTCTCTGAGTTAGAACTAAATTAATGTTATAAAAACTAATTACCAGGGCTATTGTGTTTAAACAGGGTTTATGCGGGGTTGTAAATTACAAAATCAAAATTTTAGGCCTTAAAGTCTTAAATTTACTGAAATGTTGTATTGTAGGTCTTAAATCTTTTTTAAACAAGTCTTCATTTTCCTTTGTTCATGTTTTGCTGCTCAATCTGGTCAAACCCCATACAATCACCAACAATCCATCTCAATAAAACAGTAAACTTTTTATTCAAAAAGGTCATTTTAACTCTATTTATCATAATGCTTAAATTGTTTTCCTTACAATAACATATGTTTAAACGTGCTCCATGTATTTACTGCTGAGGACAGACTGTTGTGCATATTTTTTTTTTTTAAATTTTTATCATTAAAACTTTTAATGCACTTGTTAATTGTTTTTTTGTTTTTTTAAAGAAAATTTATGTTGGAAAAAAGTGAAGTAGAGCTTGCTTGTTTTTACACAATATTTAAGATCTTTTGCTAAGAAATATCTAAAATATTAAATGTTTTTATTATTCATTTATTATTGTATAATTAAATGTATAAAATTATTATTATTTATTTTTTGATAGGGAAAATAAAATCCTTTCTATCTGGGCCATTTGAAAAAATCTTTAGCCCTTTATGAGTCTAAAATTTCATAATGGTCTTAAAAATGTCTTAATGTCTTAAATTTAACTTGGTGAAACCTGCAGAAACTCTGGTTTAAAGTATGTCAGAAAACGTGGATGCCCCCAATATTAAATATGCTGAATGAAATGGACACTAAAATAATTAATTATTATAAAACATTGTAGAGTATTCTAAACTATATGATGTTGCTGTGGGATGACATGAGACAAAACAAACACATTATAGTGGAACAATAACGTTTAGCATTGCACTGACTACAACTGGCCAACAAACTAGTCTAAAAATGACTTTTGCTGTTTAAGAAATGGATTACAGCATGCTGATGATAAGCAAACATTTGAGCGTAAAGTTTGTCAGTATTGACCAAATTCTTCACGTACCAGCAGGCACCGCCATTGAAATCTTTTTGCTTGAGACTTTTTTTTTTAAAAGATGAATTTTTAGATTCTAAAAACCGTGTTATGCTGCTTAGGCATGGGACAGTTTACAAGGTATACCTCGGTTTGAGAAAAGTCAAGGTTTTAAAACCGCCAATATTTTCAGCTGTATTGTTCCTACAGTATATACTTTTTAAAAATGTTTTATTTTAAGTTTTTTAGGACAACAGTATCTCCAGGAGAAAATGTATCCAAATGATGAGGTTTTAAATTGTAAATAAATCTGTATTTTTAAAACAAATGAAGACAGCAGTTGTCAATTATTCATTTGAATGATTTTGCCAGACATGTTTACTGCTCCAAGATATTGTAAAAGTTTCTCCAATGAAAATATTTTGTTCAAAGGGAAAAAGTACAGTTAAACCATGATATTTTTATTCAAGCTTATCATACCGTCAGAATCTTATACTGGCCCATGCCTAATGCTGCTTGATGTTGCAAAGTCATATTTTCTTATTTTATTGTTTTTTGTATGTATAGTCATGAACACATTTGTTTGTGGAGCAAGTTTATTAATCCTGGTCATTTCTCCAATAGGCAATTGAAGTTCTAAAACAATAGCATATGAGTTCAGGGCCCTGTTTCAGAAAGGAGGTCAAGTGAAAACTCAGAGTATTTTAATCCTGAAATGAGAGAAAGTCTGGGTTATCATTTCAAAATGGCAGGTTTGTCAAACTTGAGAAAGCAGGGTAAGCCAGTTTCTGAAAGAGATCTAACTTTAACTGCGAGTCAGTTACCGTGGTAACTTACTCTGTGAACCTACCTGGTCAGTAGCAGGTTTTATTCTCTAAACTCGTGAGTTTTTGTCAGTCTCCTTTCCTTTTTCTCGCTTAGCCTTACGTTTCCAGCCACCTATTTTTAAGTGCATTTTGGATGGGCTATGAGCATAAAAAAATTGGTTGATGGAAATGTCATGATGCACATAACTTTTGAAATATTGGCATAAAAAACATGCGCATAACTGAGTAGGATAAACTTTTTATTTTATAAGAAAAGATAAAACTTACGTAAACTACGCAAGCACCTTTACTGAACAAATTCCAGTTTGTGCATTAAAAAAGGTTGGTTATAAGAGATTTTATGATGATACAAATGTGTGTGAATGCACAAACCAGCAGGCTGAGCACACTGCAGAGCGTATAAAATGTTGTTTTGGTCATTCTAAAACACCTGAACCATTTCAGTATTCATGTTATTGTATTATTAATGATCTCCAGAGCGTCTGGAGTGTGTCAAGAGTGTCTGTTCTCTGCATCTCATGGCTTCAAACGCCACCACATGTTCATTGTCCTCTGAGGGGAAAGTCATTTATTAAATAAGCAAAAGATTCATGTAACTTCTTCTGCCGTAATAAATTCTATTTTTACTGTTGATACTTGGAACCAGTTAATCAGGATGTGACGATTTTGTTCTCTTTGATTCATTGGATGGAAACGCTGATTTATTTGTGTATTTTTCATACAATATTCCAGTTTTGCAAATAAATTTAGTTCTCATTTTTGGATGGAAACACAGCTATTACCAACATTTCAGTCTCACAAAGAACAGTACGTCACGTATGAGAATGGCTTGGCCTTTAATGAATAATTAGCTTAACATTACAGACCTTCGACCGGGACATGTACTGTATCTATGAAAGCCTTCTCACATTCTTATGTCCATGGAATCGGATTCTTTATGGCTTTAGCCATGTCTTCTAAAGACATTCCTCTCAGACTTCCCTTACATAAATTGGGAACCAACTTCATTGGACCATTTCCCATTATCAAGGTGTTCAGTCTAGTGTTGGTTCAACTCAAATTAAGTCTAAGTTTAAAAACATTCATCCAGTCTTTTTTTCAGGTGTCTAAGATCAAACCCATGCTTCTCTCCCCACTGCACCCCATAACCTCTGCTCCTCTGCCTCCCAGACTGGTTGAGGGTGCACTCACATACACAGTGCACTGGCCCCTGCATGTGAGGAGGAGAGGTAGAGAGGTTATCAGTATCTGGTAGACTGGAAAGGTTATGGTCCACAGGAAAGATGTTGGATTCCGGCTCTGGATATTCTGGACCGCTCTCTCATTGATCAGTTTCATTAGTTCCATAGTGAGTCTTAAGGGAATGCCAGGGGCCGTTCTTGAGAGAGGGGGTACTGTCACCGTACCTCACGCTTTTGCTCTCTTCTCCTGTTCTGGGTTACAGATTATCTCATGTCATCTGCTTTTATTTGCAGTCACAGAAGCTCTCGTTTCCCTTTTTTCCTGTTTATACCACATCATTCCCTTCATGTTTGTCAGTATGTTATCGATAATTTGTGTGCATATTATTTTGTTACTCACCCTGTATTTGTGTCCAGGACCGCTAGTGAGTGAGTGTCTGGTTGTTTTTTCCCATGAAACTTTATCAGCACTCACCCGACCGGGTGTTTACTTTGATTTTTGCTTTTTCCGTTTCTCACTCCTTAATAAACCCTTGTTGTTTTTCTGCATTTGATTCAGTTTTTTTTGTTTTTTGTTTTTTTTACTTATGACACAAGAATTTTCTTTTTCATTTGTGTTTACATGTCTTTAGATTTTGGCATGATGTCTAGCTTTTGAGGCTCTTTTGGTCTACTTCAGACAGGTCCTATTTAGGTAATTTCTTGATTGAGAACGTGTGGTAGTTATCAGGTCTGGGTGTGGCTAGAGAACTTGAACCCGGTGTGATAAATAAAGTTATGTTTAATGGGGAAAAACATTTTCACACAAGTCTGTGTAGTTCAGTGTTTTGTCTTCCTTTTAAGAATAAAATTCTTCATTTAAAAACTGCACAATGCATTTAGTTATGTTATCTTTGTCTAATATTTACATTTGTTTGATGATCTGAAACCGTTAAGTGTTAGTATTCTGCATTGCATTCGTTACATGCAGATTACTAAACCAGAGAACATTTGTCATCTAAAGGTGCAGGTTTAAGGCTTTATGCAGATGTTATGCAGATATGTCTCATGTCTGTGGGGCAAATATTCTCAGAGATTCAGCTGCTTTTTTTCTGACAGGTTTACCAGTCAGGCACAGAATGAAATAGCATTCCCTATCTGCTTTACAAGTTTTTCAAAAACATGTTGTTTTGTGTGATTACGAATATATACAAATAGAAACTGGCCATTTACAGCTTTCAAATTTATGTCTCATCAATATGACCAAAATGCTCTGGGATTAATCATATGAGTATCCGCTTAAATGTGTATTTGTGTAATGGACACTAGGAGGTTAATATGACAAGATCAATCTAAATATGATCTGCTGTTTTTACATTTAATGTGCATCAAAATTAAAGTTTTCACTGAGAGTTTTAATGATTTACTAAAAGCTGAACTTTTTTTTATTATTTCAGACCTAGTTAAAGAGTATGAGAGGAGTAAAGAGGAGGAACATCATGTCAAAATTGAAGACAAAACTCATTTAGAGACTGATGATATTTTAAAAATGAGAGACAAGCGTTGTTTTACCTGCAATCAGTGTGGGAAGAGTTTGGCAAACAGAAACAAACTAAAGATCCACATGAGGATCCACAATAGGGAGAAACTATTCACATGCACTCAGTGTGGGAAGAATTTCGACCAATCATCAAACCTTAATCAACACATGAGGATCCACACTGGAGAGAAACCATTCACATGCACCCATTGTGGGAAGAGTTTCAGCAACTCAGCAAACCTTAATCAACACATGAGGATTCACACTGGAGAGAAACCATTCACATGTACTCAGTGTGGGAAGAGTTTCAGCCAATCATCATACCTTAATCAGCACATGAGGATCCACACTGGAGAGAAACCATTCACATGCAGTCAGTGTGGGAAGAGTTTCAGCCAATCATCATCCCTTAATCTACACATGAGGATACACACTGGAGAGAAACCATTCACATGTACTCAGTGTGGGAAGAGTTTCAGCCAATCATCAAACCTTAATATACACATGAGGAACCACACTGGAGAGAAACCATTCACATGCCTTCAGTGTGGGAAGAGTTTTAGCCGCTCAACATCCCTTAATCAACACATGATGATGCACACTGGAGAGAAAGAGTATATGTGCTTGAAGTGTGAGAAGACTTTTATTACAGCTGCAAAATTGAAACGCCACCAGAGGGTTCACACTGGAGAAAAACCGTACAAGTGTTCACAGTGCAGTAAGAGGTTTGCTCGCTCAGGAACCCTGAAAACACATGAGAGGATTCACACTGGAGAGAAACTGTAGACATGATCAGTGTGTACAAAGTTTCACTTAATCAGGGCAGCTTAAGAAACACATTGGATGGTTTCTGGTAAGGCACCGACACATGTAGCAGCATAGAAAGAGCGCTTCCATACACACTGGTATTAATCCTCCTTTTTACATCATATATAATAACCTAAACCATATTTAAATGACATGGAGGAGGGACAAAAACAAAAAGGCTAGGACAAAACAACCAGTAAATCCTGAAAAAAATGAAATTTACAGACATCAAAGCCTTCCAGAAGAATATTAAATCTGATTTAACTGCCTTCCAAGATTCTCTCACAAAAGATGTGAAAATGGAATTAAGTAACTGTAAACAAGAAGTCAATCAACAACTGGATGACCTTATCACGGACCTAAATGCAACGACAGAAAAGGTCAACGAAGTGGGGCAGCGAGTTGGAGAATTTTGGAGGAGAACATTGCTGAGATGAAAGAAATGCTCAATCAATCCATTCAAATACAAGAAAATTTAAAAGAGAAACTGTGAGATCTAGAAACACACTCCCGTAGAAATAATAATCAGATTTTTGGAATCCCGGAAGGAAGCATTCTAAATGAAAAGGGAATTAAGTTCTAAACACCACCGCCGGCAAAACTTAAAATCTTTTTGGTAAACGGGCCGATCATGTACAATTCAATGACGGAGGCATCAAGAGATCTGAAAGAAAAAGGACTGATAAACAGCGAATAAGAAACTATTATAGGAATCCCTGGGAAAGAGAAACAAAGACCTTGGCAAAAGGTTGGAGTGACATGGAAGAAAAGTATGGAAAAACATCAAGCGAAGATCCGGGAAAAACTGTGAATTTCAAAGGGACAACACTAGCTTTGTTTGAAAGGGTAAAACCTGACAGATCCTGACAAAAAACTCTAAGAGACTGGTAAATCTTCTTGACTTGATTCACCGATAATGGACCAAGGTTATAATAGTTTTGGATTTTTCATTAGTTTTAGTTTCTATTTCGTTTTGACTTTTTATTTTAATTTTTTTATAATGTATTTATTAATTTTTAAGCAAAACAGATACAACAACAAACAAGTGAACAGAACCTGGGGAGAAAGAAAAGAAAGAAAAAAAGGGGGGGGGGGCATTAATTAAAGTAGCGATATTGCATCCTTGTTAAATCAATCCTCTGATGATTATGGAGGTTATGTTTAAACCCATATGTAACAAAAATGGATCCCACCTCTCATGAAATAAAACATCTTTGCCATGTAGGACACAAGTTAAGTAGGCAAACAGAAGGGGTGAGAGAGGGCAACCTTGTCTTGTTCCTTTCTCAATTTTGAACATAGAGGATCTACAGCCATTAGTGAGTACAGCACTAAAAGGCTCATTATACAATATTTCTACCCACTTAATAAATTGTTCACCAAGACCAAATTTATGTAACGTATGGAATAAAAAGGGCCATTTGATGCGATCAAACGCCTTTTCCGCATCTAATGAGATCACAAGACCTTCTACTGATTGTTGTTTAGCAAATTGAATCACATTCAAAAGACGTCGCATGTTATTTACCGAGTTACGGCCTACAATAAAGCCGGTTTGGTCATCCTTTACTAATACAGGAAGAAAGCCTTCAAGGCGGGTGGCCAAAATTTTTGAAAGGATCTTCAGATCTACATTTAGCAGTGATATGGGGCGATATGACGGAACAGTACTCTGGTTGTTTTCCTTTTTTCAAAATTAAGGATATATTTGCCTCTCTCAGTGACTGTGGTAGGCGGCCTTTTCTAAAAGAGTCATTAAACATATTTAATAATGGATCCACTAATAAGTCTTTGAATTCCTTATAGAATTCACAACTAAGTCCATCTGGACCAGGTGCTTTCCCAGATTGTAAACTCTTTATTGCTGCTAGAACCTCATTTTTAGATATAGGGGCATTAAGGGGTAATGACTGATCTTCGGATAACGTGGGGAGATTAAGTGTCGAGAAGAAAAGCTCTGTGGTTTGTGTTGTGTCCCCTTTTAGTTCTGATTTGTAGAAATTCTCAAAAGAATCTTTAAATGTATTATTAATGAATATGCTGTCCAAAGAGTGTTTACCGTTACTGTCTATAATAGATTGTATAGATTGAGAGTAAGATTTTTTCTTTGTTAGGTGTGCTAAATATTTCCTAGCTTTATCCCCATGTTCATACATTTTCTGCTTAGCAAAGTGAATTTTCACTTCTGCCTGTTTTGTTAAAAGAGAGTCTAACGCAGACCTTAGCGCCGTAATTTCCTTTAGTTTAACAGGGCTTAGTTTATTAATGTATGTTCTCTCAGCATCCCTAAGCTTAGACTCTAAAATCTCTTTTTGTTCCGCTTGTTTACGCCTTTTACTATGTGTGTACTCTATTATAATGCCTCTAGAAAATGCTTTGGTTGTTTCCCATAATAAGGATGAATCTTCAGTTGAGACCGATTTGATGGACATAAAAGTGTTGAATTCCTCTGTAAAATATGTAATAAAGTTATGATCAGCTAATATAAATGGATGAAATCTCCAACCACTGGCTTTATTATTTTGATATCTAAAGGAAAATTCAGTGAAAACTGCCGCGTGGTCAGATATTATTATATCTCCGATTTTGCAAGATGTTATGTGCTCCAACATATTTTTGGGAGAGAATAGATAGTCTATTCTCGTGTGACAACTATGAACTTTTGAAAAATAAGTGTACTCTCTCTCTGCAGGGTGGCAAGCCCTCCAAATATCTACATAATCAAAGTCTTCACACAGGGCCTTAAGTGTTTTAGCCTGTACTGATAGTAACGGTTTCCCTGCTGGGAATTTATCATGGGAATAGGACATAAATGGCAGTTAAAGTCACCCCCAATGAATAATGATTTAACTCCCCAGTCTGCTAATTTGGCAAAGGCTTCAATAAGAAAAATATTTGGGTGACCAGGAGGCCAATAAATATTCATGAAGGCAATTTCTTCCCCATGTAAAAGCCCTTTTAGAAGTACATAGCGCCCTCTAGTGTCTTTAATAACTTGCACCGATTGAAGTGGCACACCTTTTTTAATTAAAATAACTACACCCCTACTCCTTGAAGTAAAAGGAAAAATGGGCTTGGGCATAACACCCCTGCGAAAGCTTAATATGTTCTTGGTCATTTAAGTGGGTCTCTTGAAGTAATGCAACGTCCACCCCCTCCTTTTTTAGATAAGTCAGGACCTTTCTTTTCTTAATAGGTGTGTGAATTCCATTAACATTCCAAGTACATACCTTCAGATTTACCATTTTAAGTACATATTAAACATAATGTGACCCCCATTTATATAGATAAGGTTGCATGAATATCGTACGAAAAGGGAAAAAAGAACGAAAATGAAAAAAAAATGGGGAGATAAAAAAGGGATTCATCCAAGTATACAACAAATACAAAACTTGAACAATAGAACAGTCATTAAACATCAAAATATTTCACACCAGCTCTCGTTATGAGAGTAACTGTGAATTAGAGGCCCCTTAACGACAAAAGGAACTACTAAGAAAACTCCTACCTAAATATTAAGCGGTAGTGCCGCTATAAACATCAGCATGGTTTTAATAAACCGAACAGTACGCCTTATTGGCCAATATTTCTCAAATACCCAGATAAATTCACAATGTCTGCCTTCACGTTAATGTGTGAGTGTCTGTGGTATGAGTTGGGGGACTATCACGCAAGTGGTCTCCCATCAGGTGATTCAGGTACTATCGGTAGACGTTGCATTCAACGAGTCTAGAAATGCCACAACAGCAGCTGGGTCATGAAACACCTTCACTGAGCCACGAAAGTTTACCTTGAGGAGGGCAGGGTAAATTTGCCTGTATTCCGCGCCTATGGACTTCAGGCGTTTCTTGACTTTGTCGAACATCCTGCGTTTACGGAGAACGGACGCGGAGAAATCCTGAAAAATCATCACGGTGCTGTCTCCAAATTAAAATTAAAGGAGAACCTCTGGATCCCAGCTCCCGCGAAGCATTTAACACACGTTGTTTGTCTTGGAAATTGTGAAATCTTACCAGGATAGGACGTGGTCGTTGTGTGGCGGGGGGTTTCGGAGCGAGGGACCGGTGCGCTCTTTCTAACTTTATACGGCCCTCTTTTGTTGTGATGGCGAGGGTCTCAGGAAGCCATGACTCGAAGAATTGCGTTGGATTTTCACCTTCTATGCCCTCAGGTAATCCGACAATTTGGATATTCTTCCGTCTGCCCCTGTTTTCAAGGTCGTCCGCCCTTTCATTCAAATCGTGCATAAGTTTCTCCAGACTTTGTAGTTTAGTTTTGAAAGGGGACAATTCGTCTTCCACCTCAGATATCCTGGTTTCTGCTTCTGCAATCCTTTTATTATGTTCGTCTAGCTCCGCGTGGTGCATTTGCAGTAGCTGTGATATCAGGTCCATTTTATCATCTATGAGTTTAGAGATATTAGCTGTAATCTCCGCTACCGCGTCCGACATTGGGTTTGTGGATGAGCTCGTGTTAGCGCCGTCAGGATGTTCGTTAGCCTCTTCACGGCTGGTAAACTGCGTTTTTTTACGTAGCATTTTTTTCGATTGCCTCAGAAAGAAGTCATCCATGTTCATACTGTAAAATACTGAGTCTGCGCGTGTAAAAACGTAACCTACTGAAAGTTTTAAAATAAAATATGACAACGTGACACTACCGCTTAACTACACACAGCCTTCCTTCAAACCGCCATCTTGGAACCGGTAAAGGGATATTATTAAAACATATTGATTAATAGAAACATAAAAATAAAATAATTATAGGTACATGATTACAACACAACAGTTATAAATAATTGTTATTAAGTATAATAAATATATATTAGCAAAAGGCATGCATTTCTTTTATCAGATGGGTAATTATAACACATTAACACAATAGTAATCATAATAATAAACATTTAGCCGCAAAAGACAAAATGTTATTATTCAGAGCAGAATGACTGTAACACATTAGTTATACATAACTATAATTCATATAGCTCATTATTATTTAGCAGCTATATCTTATGGGTACATCATTGTAGTAACAGTTATACATCAAATAAACATAATAAACATTTAGCAACAAAAGGCAGGCAATTACAGCTTTTAATTTATTCTTACAATTCATATAGCTAATGAAGATTTAGCAGAGAAAGACTATAATTTTGTGTAAACTTTATTTTGTTTTAAGCTAAGAAATATGAGGGGAGGGGGCTGTTGATATAGAGGTAAAGTTGGTTTTATATTCGCACATTCGTTCATTTAGAAGTCTCTATATTGTTTACCATGTTACTTTGAATATTTGATCGGAATTAGCATGCAAATATGACTTGAAAACAACATTAACACTGTTTATTTGACTGTGAACAATGTTGTCCTTTGATAGTCATTGGCTTCTAATATGATTTCACTGTTTGGAGTTTGCAAATAATACTTTAAAGGAATTATATTATTAAGGGGAAAGTCTGAATGTGTGAATAGAAAACCAACTTTACCTTTATGCTGTTGATGCGTCGACAAACGTTTTGATAAACACAAACAACTGTATATACAGTACATATGCATGTTCATATAGATACAGTTATTAAATTAAACACACATTCGAACAAATTAATGATTTCTGCAATCGTATCTCAAGTCTGTAATGTTAAACAGGGTGCGGGTCGTGATCTTTAACACTATGCACAAAACAGTGAACTTAGGGTGACTTGTTAAAATTCTTGTCATACAATAATAAATCAGTGTTAGGAGGCTAAGACTGTGACATAACAAAAGACTACAATAAACAAAACAGCTTTTATCAGTAGATTTAAACGTTGACAAAAAGAACTTACCTTGATCTGTTATATTGTGCTGTGCGCTCGTGAGAATACAGCGGTGTTGTTATTTATTTGCATATGCCGCGACGCGATTGGCTCTCATCCATTCTGACAATGGAGAGCGAGAGCCAGACGATCCTGATCCAGGTAGCGCCACAGAGACTTAGTTAAAGGTCACCTACAGTAGTAGAAACGCTGAACTTTGTCTCAAAAGGTCTGCTACATAAACCCTAATGAAAGTTTGCTGTGAGAGAGACAGAAAGGTAATAGACACGCCCAACATGGGGCTCGAACCCACGACCCTGAGATTAAGAGTCTCATGCTCTATCGACTGAGCTAGCCGGGCAACTTACTTAAGAACTAGACACTGTTGACATCAATACCTTCCCTACCCGTGACAATGTTCTGCTAAATCCTGATTTCATCTTGTAACGCTGGACAGAACGAGGCCCAGGATCTATGCCCAGTGCACGTGTTAGCAGTTGCAAGCCTGCAAAATGCTTAATTCGTCCCTGGGTGGGCTTGAACCACCAACCTTTCAGTTAACAGCCGAACGCGCTAACCGATTGCGCCACAGAGACTTACTTAAAAGTCACCTACAGTGATAGAAAAGCTGAACTTTGTCTCAAAAGATCTGCTAAATGAACCTTAATGAACCTGCGCAATACGCAAGGCGCAGCGCAATAGTCTTTTACTACTTTAAGCTCGGCGCAAGGGTCATTTTCAGGCAGTGCGCCACGCTGTTTAAATAGCAAATGCATTTGCGCTCAAATGTGCGCCCATAGGCGTTCTGGTCTAAAAAAGCAGGAGTGTTTTGGCGCGTTGCTATTTTGAGAAACTGTAAATAGTCTGATCTTTAGACCAGAACAAAGTCCGTCTATTGTCTGGCGCAAAGTGCGCCTGGCTTACACACTACACACAAGATGCAATACGCAAATCTTTACATATGAAAAAGATATAATATATTAAGGATATATAATAAGGATATATATATATATATATATATATATATATATATATATATATATATATATATATAGTATATAAATATAAATGATTAAAATATTACAAAACATTAATTTATAGCCTACATGAATTTAAAAACCACTGCCTTCATACTTTCTTCATCTCGGGAGGCTTTTTCAGTTCATTCAATTTGCTTTTGTATAATGTTATCATTGTTAGCAGTATTATTTATTATAGCCATATTTATATTTGTTCTATTAAAAACAAGCTTAGATTTGTCCACCTGTCAGGTTTTACACCATATGGGGCATAGCAGGTGTATTTGGAAATAACTCAGTATTTTGACCAAACTTTGTTATTATTATTCATTTATTCGTTTGCTGGAAATTAGAACTGAATTTAGAAATAGTTTGAAACAAATCTTTGCGCTTAACAAACATATGGCGCAAAGCGGATTTTCCCGTCCTTAAGTTAGCATAAACGCATTCGCCTTGAAAACGTTTGCGATCTGCGCATGGACCGTCAAAACAGAGCCCACAATGTCAATGCACAAAGTTCACGCACGCCCGCACACACAGATGCACACACACTGACAGACAGAGCGTGTTTAGCTTCCCACTCTTTTTGCACGCATATGTGACAGGATACAGCTTAATCTTTACTGCTGTGTGGATATCTGTCATGTTAATGTGCAAAATAAACCTGACTTAACGTCTAAAAACCAGGATTGAAGTGT